TTCTAACCACTTATACAGGGTTGGTGCACATGGAATGAATTTCCAATAACCAAAAACATTTTTATATATATATATATATATATATATATATATATATATATATATATATATATATATATATATGAGATAGATAGATAGATAGATAGAGGTGTGTGTAATATATATATATATATATATATATATATATATATATATATATATGAGTGTTTTCAAATCTATAAAACTTGTATACATGGAAGAGAATATTCATGCAAGCACAACTTATATGTACATGCATGTGTATGCATCATCGATAAAGATGGCATCAAAATTCATTCCCATCAAAAACCTAGCACTTACATACGCATTCTGCTGTCAGACAGCAGAATGCGTATGTATCTTTTTTTTTCTATAGTGAAATTTTTTAACAGTGGTTTATATTTTTACATCCTGGTGGGTGAATTTACCAGTCAGAATTTTCTTCCCTATCTAGCAGAATAATTGCATTTAAAGTTTTGAAGATCAAAATTGACTGGGAAGCAAGAAGCTGGAAGAGAGTTCCACAAGCGAGAACTGTGAGGGAAGAAACTGCTAACATAGGACTCACAGTTAAATCTAGCAATTTTTGCTGTAAAATGATTAGACCTAGCTGCCTAGTACTAGTAATTAACTGTTGTAGCCTAGGGAAGGTTAATGAATAGAATAATCACACGAAGGTTGGTAATGAATAATAGTTAGGACAAGAACAACACATATAAGATTCACCACCAGCATGTAGAAGTAGTAGTCAACTGCTAGAAGTGAGTCAAGTGAATTCCACAATGAATCTCCAACTGCAGACCAACATACAGTATTTATGACTGTATTTATATGAATGGGGATATACCTATTATCGTCTGAAGGTATGCTACAACATTAACATTAAGCATAATATCCTACAAAGAAAATGGATGCAATCTTTTCTTTTCAGTAAAATATTACATTTACATAGAATAGGTATGTATCATAGTGGTTATCAGCACAGAAAATGGCACTGGTGTACCAAGTTCAAATTCTGGAAAAGTTCATTATATTCACTTACACACAAATACCCTTGAAAAATGTATAAGACATGTTTTCTCTCTCCAGCTATGGCTTAAATAGCAAGGCAGACTGGGTTCTCTAGCCTTGGTTGCTGACTCATCCAAAAGAGCACAGTAGGTATTTGCAACAGGAATAACTACCCTAGCAAATAGGTAAATTTGGAAGTAGTCAGTCATTATCCATGTTGGTTTCTCAGATTAAAAATAAAACATTGTATTCCAACATTTGATAAATAACATTCTATAATTATCCAGTTTTTTTGTTTTTTTTTTATAAATTTAACATTGAGAATTAGCCCATTTCTATGTAGTGGACTCTTCTAGTGATGTAGAAAAGAGTATATAATTTAGATAAATCTGTGATATATAGATTATATGTAGGTATGTTTTAGTTTCACTAGCAGGTTAATTCAGTTTCATTTTTTTTATTTAAAATTATTTAAAATACTGGATCTTATATCGAAAGATATAAAAATTGTGATGAAATTAAAAATTAAAGAAAATGATGAATGTAATTCCGTCCTCTGATTTCATTACAACCTAAATATTGCTCACTGTTCTCGTTGATTCTAACAATTTTCACATCTCTTATACCAAAAAGAGTAATTAAATTCATACCTCCTTAATTACAATGAGTGTCCTCATCAATACAAAATAGCTATTATTAAAAATTTCATTAACAGAGCTCACCTAATTCCATCTTTGTGCCCACTGTTTTATCAAGAACTCAACAACACTAATTAACAATGGATTTCAAAATGATATAGAATTTAAAATAAATCTAAAAATGTATATAACAATAAGAATGTAAGCAAAAATCATGACAAAAGTAATATATTTAAATTAATCTATTGTAATGATAAATAGAAAGGAAGATTTAAGGAAATAATAAAAATGAAAATGCTATTTTTAATTAAAGTTCAAATTTCTGACACACAAAGAGAGCTTGGAGAATTTTCACACTGACTGAACATAAGGCAAGAGTAACCTACCTAACAAGCTCGTATAAATGGATAGCCAGAAATAGGAAGGAACAGCAAGGAGACAAACATTAATTATAGTTATAAATGATAGGAAGATGTGAAGAACCATGATTATTCAAATCCTGAAGGAACATAGTACATAAAACAAGTAGTTCTCTGATAGACGTGAGCCATTTCCCTATATTTTCCCAGTTTTTAAATAAAATTCTGCAAAATAGAAGAAATTAAAATCTTGTCTTTAGTATATTGATTTTCATGTCCCATCTCTAAGATCATTAATTGTAAGAAATTTTATAATTAATGTTTTGAGTGTTGGCTTCCTTTGCATTCAGACACTTATCCAGGATTGTTTGCCTTCCAGCAAGCTAATAGATAATCACTTCTTCATAGTGGGAAGCCAATAATAACCATCTGTCTTTTTGCCCCAAAGTTCTGAACTCTTCTATCTGGACCGATTACTCTCCTGGTTTTGTGGCATTCATTGCCTGTTAATAAGTTGGTTACTTTTGCATTGTAAAATAAAGCTCTGTCCATAGGCAGGCAGGCAAGAGAGTGGATGCTTAGACAAATATGTATTAATATGGACAGCAAGGTATAGTCTTTATGTACACAGAGGTACATATTCATTATTTCATGAATAATTCTGGTTAATTTCTCTTGAACTAAAGACAAAACAGGTGCACATTCATAAAGACAGTAATAAATGAATATTTACAAATATTTAATTTCTATGTGTAGACAGTCTTTGAACCATAATATCTGTGAAGTCATTTAAAATAAAATCTGAATTCAATTATTTCATTCTAAGTGTGACAGAAATATAACAAATTTCAAATAAGATTAGATTAGATGAAGTTGTATATATGGTGGGAAACTGATGTGTGAAGTAAAATAAATCATAAAGAATGTATTTTTTTTTAATTTTATCATGGTTTAACCCATCATATCTGAAGAGTGTTTTCAGAAGATTTAGATATGACATAACAGAAATTAAAATTTCAATGACCGACTAAAATTTATTTTTCAGGCCTTAACCCTATATATCTAATCCACATATATAAAATGCAATGTGAATTATATCTATTGAGGAATTTTTAACAGAATCCAAAGAATCTGCGACATTATTAGTCTTGACTGGTTAAGCTTCATTTGCTTTCTCATCAGCATAACAGTTTCCCTGTACCATTTCTATAAATATTTTCATGGTAATATTCTGATGATATTCTCTCTTTGGTACCTCAACTCCATGAACTTAAGTGCAATACTAGTTTTGCAGCAAGGTCTCATAATTTCACTATTGAAATTGAGAGATGCAAACATAAGCTTCATGCTAAATGTTTCTTTTCCTGCATTTCTCACTTGTGGAAATTCATGTCAACATCAAACTTCAAAATTTTAAATGTAATATCAATTATTATCTTTCGTCTCCTTGAATCGTATTACTTTACTGTCAGTACTTTTTTGCTTTCTTGTGCCTTGCTTGGAGTGATATGATTAAAAATTACATACATTATATATATATATATATATATATATAGGAATATACTTATGTTATAATTTTTTTATAAATAATAATTATATATATATATAGTCATCCACAGACAGACTGTTTCACTGTATCAGTGTGGCTAGATGTCAGGTTGCCTCTAGCTAAGATCGAAACCTGGCTGAATTGGCGTCAATTGAAGATTCTACCCCTAAGTTGTTGGTGCACAGTTGGGCTGAAGATGAATTTAAGTGTATTTATTTTTGTATAAACACACAATGACTGAGAGAACTTGATTCACTTTACTAATGAGTCTTGCATTATTAGCCATTATTGTCACTATTTACAAACTCTCTCTCTATATATATATGTGTGTGTGTGTGCTCATACCAAATACTAGCTTTTAATATAGTTAGGACAATCTTAGAAGTAGCATTGAAGTTTATTAAGTTATTTTATTGCTTGTGTAGTCAATTATATATCGTTTGCAAGCTTTACCAAAAGGTTCTGTGTTTAATGGAATTCTTTATCATGATTGTTGGAGTACAGACAAGTGTTACCATGCAATATTGGAGAGAGCAACTGGCTTGTTTAAATGATGCATTGCAATAGGAAAGACCATATTCTAGGCAAAGATTTTGTCTGGTGTCATTGCTGCATGAAAATGCTTGTCTTCAAATTGAACATTGTTATCTTAACATCATTACTTTTTAGACACAATAAAATGTCCCTGGTCTTGTGACTGGTTCTAACAAGTTGAAAATATTGGAAAATTCCTGTGGCAAAGTCAGAATCATTCTTTTTATGACAGGATATAAAATTTACCTGAAAGGTCAAGTAAGGTGAGGGAGATGAATTTATATAAATAAAAATTTGTAAAAGAAAAACCAAAAAGTTTTGCACAACCACAAATCTGAATATATATGCACATTCATATCGACACATTTTGAGGGAAAAGATATGAAACAAAAGCATTTCAGATTGTTTCTACTTTAACTTTCCTCCCAACACCCTCTAAGAAAATGCACATGACAAATATAAAAAGAAAGAAAAAGGCTGTAATCTTATCAGAAATTGAGAAGAACCCCTAAAACTACTGATATTGGATCAAAAGGTTATTGGTGAGCATTGGTTCCTGCAAAGGTGATTTATTTCATTTGGATGGTTGAAAACGATTACTTAGATCAGATTCAAAATGAAATTGCCTTAAAGTGAGAGCAAGGACAAAAAAAAATCACAAAAGAATAAGAAAGAAATTAAATGAGGAATATAGAGAAAGGGAAAATAAATGAAAAGAAAAGGTATGATGGTTTGTAAATGATAACAAAATTTATTCCGAATGGATGCCTATTTAAGTATTGAAGTTTTTATTTTATTTTCAAAAAAATTCTAAAGAAAAATTCTATAATTTAGTTGCATTCTTGACTGCAGTAATTGATGGGGATTTATGATTTGGGGTATTTTTATGTCTCAGAATAAAGATGAAGAAATTAAATATATACAGCAACAAAGGAAAAACTGGGAGGGAAATAAATATAAAGAGGAGGAGGAGGAGGAGGAAGAGGAAGAACTGAAAAGAGAGAAAGGGAATAGAATTGACAGAATAGAATGAGGAGAAGATAAAAAGAAAGAACAAAAGATAAATGATAGGACAACAGAATGTGTAAGAAAATAGAATAGAAATGAAAGACAACATGAAGGAAACAATGAAAGAGAAGAATAATGAAGGGGGAAAGTAGAAAATTTAAAGGGAAATAGAAGAAAAGAAAGAAAAAACGACACATAAAAAAGAAAGAAAAACGACACATGAAAAGAAAGGAAAACGACACATGAAAAGAAAGGAAAACGACACATGAAAAGAAAGGAAAACGACACATGAAAAGAAAGAGAAGCGACAGATGAAAAGAAAGAGAAGCGACAGATGAAAAGAAAGAGAAGCGACAGATGAAAAGAAAGAGAAGCGACAGATGAAAAGAAAGAGAAGCGACAGATGAAAAGAAAGAAAGTAAAGCAAGAGATGATAAAAAAGAAAGTAAAGCAAAAGATGAAAAAAAGAAGCAAAATCAGAGATGAAAAAAGGGCAAGAAAAAACTGGAAGATGGAAAAATGAAAGCTTAATCTGTAAATGAAATAACAGAAAAGAATATGAAATTATAGGAAGAGAAGTGAGAGGAGAAAAAGAAAGAATCTTAGGAAGAAAGGGAGAAACTAGATTAAAAAGAAAAGAGACAAAGAAAAGGAAAAAATAAACCAATCCAAAAAGACAGAAGAGAAGAAGCAAAAGAAAAAGAAGCAAAGAATGCAGTTGAAAAATAAAGAAAAGAAATCTTGAATGCAAAGAAATCCAATAGTTGGAGAAAAAAAAAAAACAAAAAACAGTTCTATCTTTATGCTTTCATGATTATCATAGTAAGCAGAATTCTAAGTTTTCATTCTTTGTCCCTTTCACAAATCCTCCCTATCAATCATTGGAAATATGACAATCTAAGTTTTTCTTTTTAGCTTACAAGGAAAAATCTATGCAGCAACATAACCCAGGTTTTTTTCATAATTCTTTTAATACATTTGTTAGATTATTTTATATCTTATTTCATTTCATTCTTTTATATTTTATGATTTGGACAGTGTTCTTTTATATCTACTTTTTAGCTAATTCAATTTCTGGTGCAAAATTTTTCTGCTGTTCTCTTCATAATGATATTGTAGATTTACCTATTTTCCAAATACATTTATTATTTTTATTCAAATTGGACAACACTCTACAGAAACTCACTAACTGAAATACTTATTCAGGCACATCAACACATACTTACGTAAAACATATAAAATTGTGCGTGTATATCTCATTAGGCAGTTTTAAGATAGTGATAGAAAAATATATAAAAAAAAATTAATAACAAGGAGACCAACATTTCACCATCTCTAAAAATAGATGTATATTCAGTATCACCAAGCCAAAAATCCATGTTTCAACCAACCAATCAGAAATCACTATTTATGAAGCACATCTCAGGATACATATATGATGAGATTGAAAATCAACCAATATCAGAATTGATGAATTAATTTTGTCCATTCCCTGATGCTATCATCATCGAAATGCAATTATTGCACCACTGGCTGGTGACCTGATATCCCTACACAATTCTAATACATTTAAAAATATACATTCATAACCTTTTAAGTAGCCTATTGCTACATTTAAAACATATATACTTTCCTTTATCCACATTGTTAAGCAAGTGCTTACTACATATAGATACATACATATATATATTTACTTTTACCCTAGACTCTTTTTCTCTCTCATATGCACCAGGACTTCAACTTTTACCTTATTCTTCAGTATTATTATACTGTGTTACTTAAAAGGTTTATTTTGTATTTATCAACGCTGTGCATTTTTTTTTTTTTTTAATTATGATACAATTTCAATATGCACATGTCCTGGGTAAGACGATAAACAACATCTGCATCCTGGGTATGATGATAAACTGCGTCCAACAGCAAGGGCTCCGATCAGAAGGAGCATGAAACCACTTCTTAATTGCTGGTCTTCCTAGGTCCACCATGACCCGGGGTGGTAGCACCTGTTAGGGTCCCAGCTATGGGTAAAATGTTAACCCTTGAACTGGGGTTAAAGCATTATGAAAGTGTAAAAATAGGTTTTGATACCAGCAATACCATTTTCTAAAAAAAATGAATTTTTGAAGAAAAGTATTACCAGCAATGAATTTTTGAAGAAAAGTATTACCAGCAATACACTTTTTAGAAAAAAAAATATTAACAGCAATAAAAATCTTGTCAACATTAAATAACCCATTGAGGTTGATATACTGTAAAACAAAACAAACCAATCAATATACACTTTACACTATAATAGATATATAGTGGGAACAGATGTTGTCATAAGATAATCTCTACAAATCCCTTATATATCAGGGGCAAATGTTACTTTCAAAAACATGCATTTCCATAGTTAATGGTAAGATTAGCTGTTCCATACAGGAAACATTTAGCATTCATTGAATAAACACTTAATGTTGATTTGAACTTATAAACTTTTCTCTTCAAACATTTTTTCAAAAAAAAATGTTTCTCAAGTCCACTAATTGTTATAGATCTTTCTAGTTTTGATGGGTTGCTTTTTTTGTTTAAGCTATTGTGGAATGTGGAATCTTGATTATTTCATTATTTTGTCTTCAAGTAACATGTGATATCCATTCTAGTTGTTGATGCTGTTCTATGTCATCAAGTTATGTGGTATCTGTTATTTGGTAAAGTTTGTGATTCTTCAGCACCAGTTTATGAGGTCTGATGAAAGACAATCCTCTTTCATATCCAAAGAGGATATTCACGGAGATCAATTTTTAATAATTGATCTGAGAAAATGTTACTATATAGCTGATAGTTTAGACATATCTGAATGAACTGAGGGCATGCATGATAGCCATATGAAAATTTGGATCTGATGCAGCTATTTAAAAAACATAACTCTGGTTAATGTTTTGACTTTGTAGCATATTATATTACTGGGCAAATCTAACTTTAACACTATTCTGTGTTCAGTTTCCTTATCTCCTATACTAAATTGGTTATAAATGATCAATATATTAAGAGATTTTAAATGTGTATATAATTATTTTAACTGATTTTCACTCATCCAAAGCCCAAGAGCCACTCAAGGTAGATTGTTTCTATGTGGTGTTGTATAAGTGTAAGAAAAGGCAAGAAGTGCAATTCATGAAATTATTTAAGAAAGAAAATAGTTAACTTTCAACTTGAATTGGTCAAGATTGTAGTGATTAGGAAAACATTTTGCTGGGAATCGGTTCCAGAAAGTTACAGTTCTTGGGAAGAAGCTGTCTGAATGGAACTTACATCTTATTAATAGAATATGAAAAGAATGAGGAAGTTTTATCCCTGTGTATGTGAAATGGTGAATCCCAGCTGCAAAGGCCAGAGCTTGTAGAATCAGATCACTAGCCATGAAAATAATGATAGTGTAGCGAGAGTCTTGCAAAGTCTTGTCTGTGGGAATAGGGTTCTAGAGTTATATTGCAGGAATACTCCATTTTTGGTCTGATCACTTGTAAAGTGAGAGTATAACAGGGGGAGTTGATATTTTCAACAGTACAATGAATCAAACATTTTCCAGCATCTTTAGTAATCAATCTTATGTATGAATTCCACTGGAGGTCTTGGGTAATCTTAAGTCCCAATAACTTTTTCTGCTAGTCTCTGTTTCTCACTTGATAACTTCTCTCATACTAAAGCTGACAGACATATAACATTGACAAGTAAATCATGCTCTGATTTCAACATCCAACCTAAAAGTAAGGCATCTGATATGTTCATTATATCAGCTTCTTGAACAAAACTGGAAAATTAATTTGCAAATGCTATATCACAATGAGCACACACATACTACACTGATCCTTGGTAGAGTACCAGTGTGTGACTCTTTGATTCTTGGTAGCGGCAGACAGGGTTTGAAAATATTGTCAGGAGACAAAGGGAGCTCACCCACCACTACAGTGCTATCATTTCATTTTCATAATGAATAAAGAAAATTTTCAGGCAGTATGTATGGAAAAAAGTGGACAATTTAAATTTTTGTGTATAAAATTTTTTTAAAAAAGTGTATTTCTTACTAATTACAGTGTACACATACTGTACATGTTACTGATAGTAAATAGCAAATATAAATACAGAATGTTATCATTTAATTTTTTATTCATTGTTTAAAATTATAAGTAATTGGGTGATATTTTTAAATAGTTTACAGCACAATTTACACATTAATAGGTATTTAAAAAGCATAATAGAGCATTGCATGCAGCCTACTAAATTAAGAGCAATTGTTTGCATTCAGTAGATGATTGTGGGAATCTGCTAATAATGGCTTCTGCATCCAATTCATTTAACAATTCCTTTTTAATGGATAGCAAAAAGTATGATTTCAAATTCTTTTCAGACTGCAAATTTCTTAACTTTGATTTTATGATCTTTAGCTTTGAGAATGTCTTCTCGCACTGGACTTGAGTAACTGATAGTTTGCAGATGACTTGTCTGTGTTTGTTTATTTACTGCATTTTTATATAGGTGGCCCACTTGCTACTGGGACAGCTGACACTCTGGCCAGCCCATTACTGCAGAAACTCTGATATTAGGCATATGTAAATAATTTGAGTATTTTTTAGGGATACTATGCTAGTTCATATAAACTACATTAAATACAACTGAAATCATGTCTGTTTAAATATAACATTTTCTTAGTCTTTGAATTGTGGATAACCTGCCAAAAGATATTTTACTTCTGTTTTGGTTTGAATATTTTAATGATCTTGGTCATTATTAGGAACTAGATGTTTTGCAGATAATATATTGTTTCATATATTCTGATATTTTCTGGAATGTTATATTACAGATTTAAATATTTATACATCTACAATTTGTCCATTCCTTGAATATCGTGGTCATATTTGATCTGGTGCTTCTGCTATGTATTTAAAGATTCTTGATAAGTGCCTTTTCTATAAATATTTTCATGGTAATTATTCTGATCAGCTTTCCACTATGGTATCTAGATTTATTAATTTAAGTGCAGTATTAGATTAACACAAAGTCTCATTATTTCACTTTTGAAATGGCTAGTTTTAACTTCTATGCTGTTTCTTTTGTTGCACTTCTTGCTTGTGGAAGTCTCTCCAAGTATATTGCTTCCCATTCAACTTTGATCTTCAAAAATTTAAAGATAAAATTTATATAATATTTGTGTAAACTCATAGTTCTGGTTAATAATATTCAAAGGAAAACACTGGAAGAAAAGATTAGTGAAGAAACTTTTTCATCACATGGAATAATAATGCCATAGTAACAAATACTGTAGCAACATGTCTGACACACTTTGCGACTCCTGGTCCTATGAGCTGAATGGAGAAGTCTATATTCAACAATTTAGTGTAACAAAGGTCGGTCATCTTTCTACACAAAAAAAAATCAATCATTATCTTCCATCTTCTTGATTCCTGTTATTTTATTGTTCTCTTTTCTTAATGTTTTTTTGTCATATGAAAATATATGTATGTATATAAATGATGTCATATGTAGAATGGCTTTGCAAAACTTGTGAAAACTATAAAAATTCTATGAAAACTTTGTATATTTTAATTATTCTCTACACATCTTGAAATGCATAAGGTTAAAGGCAACATTCACTCCCTGAGAATTACAGATATTTGAAAGGTTGTACTTTGAGTCACTCTTGAGCATTTTATTGAGTAAATTCTAGTATTAAAAAAATCATAAAGTTGATGGTAGGGAAATGTTTTGTGAAGTTGTTAATCTCCATTTGATGTAAAGGGTTAGGATCAACTCATAAAATATAGACCGCTTAGGAAAAGAAAAGATGAGGTCATCTGTCAGGATGTCCCATAGCATTCACATACTACTTCTATTCAGTACAGTCTACCATAATGGGTTTTAGCTTGTGTTGTCTCCATCCCTGAGTTTTCTTGCAGTATGTCGATGAGAGTTTTTCTCTTCTAGATCATTGCTGCCAGGATACTAAATTGTTGGATACAGTGTCCTGCCAGAGGCATCCTTTTTTTTTGCTGAACCTTTGAAAGATTCCATCTATATCTTCAGAGATTAGGCCATAAAATGAAATTTTTATTAAAATACTGTTCTCCACTCAATATCTTACGACGTATGTCGGCATACAAGGCAAACTCTTAATCTTAAAAAAATCTCAAAAATAGGGGGACTGTCTTATATTCCAGGTATAAAACGGTAACCTTAAATCTTATGGTTTATGGTA